CCCCAAAACCCCCAAAACCCCAAAACCCCTAAATATGTATTTTTAAGAAATCAATTTAATAAAATAATCTTAGAAATCAAATCACGGAGTATCATCACTAAATGTAATACTTTTCCTATTGTTTTTAATAATATCCTCAAGTTGCTAATATACTTCAATCTACCTTTTTTAAGTTGTTTAAAGTTTTCTTAATATTTCAGCTTCTTTAGACTCCATTGAATTGATATTATTAGCTTTAAATTGTACCTTTGATGCCTCTTTACTAATCTTATTGGCATAGTTTTACTAAGCTTGTTGCAACTTTTCCTCCCAGAATTTGTGAAATTTCTCTCTCGCTTATTATTCTTATTGTTTAACACTTACCTTCCTCTCTTAATTTTCAAGGATAACTGATTAAAGATATTCTTCCTTTATTCTCTCGTCTCTCATCCTCCTTTATTTCTCTGACAAGTAACTCTCTCTTTTATTATCCATAATTGTTCTTGAAAGTTCCATGTACCTTTGTCTTTGCTAATCCTTCTCCTGTTTAGCTTACTCCCTGAATCTTTCAATACTGCTATCTTAATTAATTTATAACTAAATTTTCCTTCTCTGTTGCTCTTCATTATGCAGTTTGATAGCCATAATTTTCTCAGCCTATCTCCTTGTATTATCAATCTTTTTTAATATTTTTTATTCCTCATTATGCAATAGTTTTATCCTATTTTCAAGCAACTTTTCATCTCTTTCTATAATTTACCTTGTTTTCTGGATTCTAAATAGCTACATTGATCTGTCCTAATCATCTAAAGTAATGCTCTCTAAAATTTAAATATAAAATTGGGGAAAATTAGGTACAGTTAATTGTCTCCTTAAGGGGCTAGAGAGAATGGGTACTTAGTTAGCTATAAGATTACATAAATGGTTACAGGATGTTATCATGGCTTTCATACCTCGTTCGCTTCCTGTTAATAGATCTTGCTTCCGACTATTTTTTTTCTTTTGGTTTATCTTTAGTCAAATCTATTATTGTTTGTTAATAGATGTGCTGAGGATCATTTGATTCTAAAGTATTCATTTTATATTACTGCTTCTGCATGATTTATTTTTTAAAGATGTCAGTTGTTCTCATTGGTTCCTTAGCTCCATTCCAGTAAACTTTAAATTTTCTCATTGATTAAGCCATATGACTAGTCTATTTTGAATTCTTAACTGGAGAGCCATAGTCATTAAACGGCTGTTCAGTCTATTATTCATTGCTAGGCTTTGAATTAAGATCTAGATTTTAAAGATCAGAATCCATGTGCTTTCTCAAATTAATATTATCAATTTAATTGCAATAAAATAAAAAAATATTAAATTCTCACACTGAGGGGTTTTGGGGTTTTGGGG